ATAAAGTTTTTTGAGAAAAATATTTTAGGTGTTCTAGGTGTCATATCCATGGGCTAATAGACACGAAAAATTGTGAAATTTTTGTGATTCCTGAAACGGGGGATGTAGATGCGGAAATGGCAGCAAAAAAATGGTGTGAGTTTATTTAGAGGTTCTCATAAAGATTTTTGAGAAAAAAATTTAGGTGCTCCGGGCGCCATATCCATGGGCTAATACACATGAAAAATTGAGAAATTTGCGCACTTTCTAAAAAAGGGCATGTAGATACGAAAATGAGCGCGAAGAAAATGGTGTGAGTATACATAATGATCCCCCAACTGAATACAAAGGTTTTCATAAAGTTTTTTGAGAAAATATTTTCGGTGTTCCAGGCGCCAGATCAATAGGATAATGTACACGAAAAATTGAGTAATTTGTAAGACTCTTAAAAAAGGGCATGCGCAAAAAATATGTTGTGATTATACGTGATGGTTCTCCAACTCAGTACGGAGGTCCTCATATAATTTTGTGAGAAAATAATTTTGGGTAATTCGGCCGCCAGATCCATGGGCTAATACACACGAAAAATATGGAATATCGCGATTCTTAAAAAAGAGCCTGTAGATGCAGAAATGGGCACGAAAAAAATAGTGTGAGTATACGTGATTGAGACCAACTCAATATGGAGGTCCTCATAAAAAATTTTCTGAAAAAATTTTGGGTGCTCCGGGTGCTAGATCCATGGGTTAATACACACTAAAAATTTAGAAATTTGTGTGATTCCTAAAAAAGGGCATGTAGATGCCAAATGGGCGCGAAACAAATGTTGTCAGTATACGTGATGGTTCCCGAATTCAATACGGAATTCCTCATAAAAAAATTTGAGAAAACAATTTTTAGGTGCTCCTGGCGCCAGATTCATAGGCTAATACATACAAAGAATTAAGGAATTTGCGAGATTTCTTAAAAAGTCATGTAGATGCGAAAATGGGTGCAAAAAAATGGTGTGAGTATACGTGATGGTTCTTAACTCAATACGGAGGTCCTCATAAAGTTTTTTTAGAAAAAAAAATTGGGGTCTCCGGGCGCCAGATCCATGGGATAATACACACGAAAAATTGAGAAATTCGTGCGATTACTAAAAAAGGACCAATAGATGCGGAAATGGGCGCGAAAAAATGGTATGAGTATATGTGATGGTCCCCAACTCAATATGGAGGTCCTAATAAAGTTTTTTGAGAAAAAATTTTGGGTGTTCCGGGCGCCAGATCCGTAGGCTAATACACACGAAAAATTGAGGAATTTGCGCGATTTCTAAATAATTGCATGAAGATGCGGAAATAGGGTAAAAAATTATGTGAGTATACGTGATGAATCCTTAACTCAATACAGAGGTCCTCATAAAGTTTTTTGAGAAAAGAAATTTGGGTGCTTCAGGTACAAAATCTATGGTCTAATACACACAAAAAATTGAAGAATTTATATGATTTCTAAAATTACGCGATTCTTAATAAAAAATTTTGCGGAAAAATTGTGGTTGATCTAGACGCCAGATCAATAGGGTAATACACACGAAAAATTTAGGAATTTGCGCGATTCTAATAAAATTGCCAATATATGCGAAAATGGGCGCGAAAAAATGGTGTGAGTATACGTGATGGTCCCCAACTTAATACGAAGGTCATCATAAAGTTTTTTAAGAAAAAAAATTTGGGTGTTCCGAGCGCCAGATCAATGGGTTAATACACACGAAAAATTGAGGAATTTACGCGATTTCTAAAAAAGGGCCTATAGATATGGAAATGGGGGCGAAAAAATTGTGTGAGTATACATGATGGTTCCACAACTAAATACAAAGGTCCTCATAATGTGTTTTTTAGAAACAAATTTTTGGTGCTCTGGACCCTAGATCCATGGGCTAATACACACAAAAAATGGAAGAATTTGCATGATTTCTAAAAAAGTACATAAATATGCGGAAATGGGGGCAAAAAAAATGGTGTGAGTATACGTGATGGTTCCTTAACTCAATACGGAGGTCTTCATAAAGTTTTTTGAGAAAAAAATTTGGGTTCTTCGGGTGCAAGATCCATGGGCTAATACACATTAAAAATTGAGGAATTTATGCGATTTCTAAAATTGAGCCTGAAGATGCGGAAATGGGTGCGAAAAAAATGGTGTGAGTATACGTGATGGTTCCTCAACTCAATACAGAGGTCCTCATAAAGTTTTTTGAGAAAAATATTTTAGGTGCTCCGGGCGCCAGATCCAAGGGATCATACACACGAAAAATTATGGAATTTTCGCGATTCCTAAGAAAGGGGCATATAGATGCAGAAATGGACGTGAAAAAATGGTGAGTATACGTGATGGTTCTCCAACTCAATATAGAGGTCCTCATTAAGTTTTTTAAGAAAACGAATTTGTGTGCTCTGAGCGCCATATCCGAATGCTAATACAGACGAAAAATTGAGAAATTTGAATGATTACTAAAAAAAGGCCAGTAGATGTGGAAATGAGCGCGAAAAAAGCAGTGTGAGTATACAGGATCGTTCCCCAATTCAATACGGAGGTCCTCATAAATTTTTTTGAGAAAAAAATTTGGTTGCTTTAATACACACGTAAAATTGAGAAATTTGTGCGATTCCTCAAAAAAGGCCAGTAGATGCGGAAATGTTCCCGAAAAAAATGGTTTGAGTATATGTGATGGTTCTCCAACTCAATACGGAGGTCCTCATAAAGATTTTTGAGAAAAAAAATTTGGGTGTTCCAAGCGCCAGATCCATGGGCAAATACACACAAAAAATTGAGAAATTTGCGCGATTCCTAAAAAAGGGTCTGTAGATGCGGAAATGGGCACGAACAAAATGGTGTGAGCATACGTGATGGTCCTCCAACTCAATACGGAGGTTCTCATAAAAAAAAATTGAGAAAAAATATTTGGGTGGTACGGACGCCAGATCCATGGGCTAATACACACGAAAAATTGAGAAATTTGTGTGATTCCTAAAAAAGGGTCTGTAGATGCGGAAATGGGCGCGAAAAAAATGGTGTGACTATACGTGATGATTTCCTAACTCAATTCGGAGGTCCTATGAGTCCTATGCCCTCAATTAACCAAGCCTATGGTAATCGTGATGAAAGACAGAAGTTTATAGTTGCAAATTCTGGAATTTTAGGGGCAAATCCTGCGTCTACTGGGAGCAGTAATTTTGATATGGTCATGTTCTCTTGAAGTGGTCCTTCATGGTACAAGAAGAATTTAAATTTTCAGTATGAGTTTAGTAAAATGAAAGGGCACACAAAGGAGGTGTGTTACAAATTAGTGGGATATCCACAAGACTACAACAAGTTCAAAAAGAAAAGGAGTTCAGGTTGGAGTTAATTGGTACAACTCAGGTGCTTGGGCTCATAATGTGATAGTTGACAGTCACTTTCAAGGGCGTGATCAGTGTGATAGCATGGTTGATACATGTAATGTTGTGACTGAAGGGACTGGTCAGAATACAAAGGAAAATAATGGTGTAGTAGTTGAAGCCTATTATAGAACCCTACAGTAGTGTCCAAGAAAGTTTATTTACCTAATGGTGTAGTAGTTGAAGTCACTCATATTGGATCTAGTAATGTTTCTACAAGGACCTCTTTGTCCAATGTATTGCATTTTCCCCAATTCAAGTTTAATCTGATGTTTGTGTCGAAAATAACAGAAGAACTCGGGTTCTCAGTGAGTTTCTTTCCTGTTTTTTGCCTCTTTTAGGATCGAAGGGTGAGAGAGATTGGTAGAGAGGAAAATGGACTATACATCCTAACTGGAAATACAAATGTTCAGCATCAAAATAGTGGATGTGCTCTTGCAGTAAAAGAAGACAACATCTAAAGGATATCTGAAGATGTAGATTTGTGGCACAAGATGTAGTCTTGACATAGTTCATTAGACCAATTGTGCCTATACCCCCTCAGCAAACTGGGGTGGCTAAGAGAAAACACACACATTTGCTAGAAGTAACAATGGCAATCAAATTTCAAGTTGAGATAACTATCAGGATTTGGGGTCTGTGTCTTTTAGCTGATGTACATTTAATCAATAGATTACCTATTTCAGTGTTGCAATATAGGTCTCCATATGAGGTGTTTTACAACAAAAAAACCTTGTGTCTCACATTTAAGAGTACTTGGTTGTCTCTGTTATGCTAAGGTTGTGCAAGAGCTTGACAAGCTAAAACCAAGGTCTAAGGTTATACACAACACATTTCATGAGAACAAGGCATTCCTTGAAAATGGTTTGCAAATGGTTGTCACTTTGGTGAGGATCTGTTTACGCAGAAGGAAGACCTGAGACCCAGTATGCTTGAATCTCAAAAAGCACACTCTTGATCAATTGAAGTCTGCCACTATATGAAAGAAACTTAGTGGTCTAGCTACTGATTCTAGAGAAAATACTATCGATAATAGGCATGTATTGTTGAACAGTAAGCTTCTTTGAGGATAACGGTACCCCTAGATACTTTAAAGGGCATTTCTCCCCTAGTGAAATTCATTTCTTGTAGTAACTACTGCTTAAATTCATCACTCACACCAGCAACATACAGTGAGCTCTTGTCCATATTAGCAGGGAAACCAGAAACCTCAGAGAAAAGATTGAATGCTTTCATCATGAGGTGTATACACACACATTAAGAGGTCATTGGCCAGTTTTCTACCAAAGCATCACACAGACAATAACATACCCAACGTAATCCCACAAGTCAGGCATGGGGAGGGTAGTGTATACACAAACCTTACCCATATCTTGAGAGATAGAGGGGCTATTTCCGATACAGATACACCCATCACATTGATAATAGCCCTTCTATCTCCGATAGACCCATCACATTGATAATAGTTCAACTAATAAGGATACTTCATGATATTAGACAAATGAACGAAATGTTTGAGCTCTAGATTACATCTGCTTGTTCACACATATGAGGAAATCGCAATCAAAACTAAACCTTGCATTTCGTATAATTGAAAAGAAAAACTTAAGCAATCAATCCAATCATCTTTTGATGTACTCAAAACCAAAAATGGTACATATGATATGAAATCTCTATGAGGGAAAAGAAACAACAAAGAAAATACACATTCTACCAATTCCTACAAAAGAACACAAACTATATATAATGTATCACAAAACATCATTTTACTACAAAAATTTTTAGTTAAAAGAGTCTTCTTTTCCTTTTTCTTCTAGCAATCTTTATGTTACCAAGAAAACTAACCCATTTCTGCAAATCTTCTTTCAACAACAAACCTACCAATGCAGCACAACAACAAAACCCTAATGCCCAATCCAAAACCCCTCTTTTCCACACATTAACAGAAAACCCAAAAAGGGTTAAACCCAAACCCCCCAAAAACACATCAATTTCCAATCTTTTCATCAAAATCAACCACAACCCAACACCAAGAATTGCAAAAAACACAACCCCAAATCCCCAATTCATCTTCTTTCTACTTTTTCTTCTTCCCCACCCATCAAAACCACCCGACCCGAAACTAAACCCACCACCTCCACCTCCACCATTTCCACCTCCAAATTCCCTTAAAATAGAATCCAATGGCTCTGGCAAAAGCTTGAGCTTTGAAGCAATGAAGTAAGCTGATTCTAGCATGATTTTCGTTGATCTAACAGACCCAGATGGCCTTTTCTTTTTCCAAGCTGATACAATCGGTTTCTGCAAATGCAAATGCAAATGGGGAAGAACCCCATTTCTGGAAAATGGATCGGAATGGTTCACTGCAAGATTTCTTGAAGAAAAATCACTGGTTTTTCGAATTGAATTTGGTAAAAGGGAAATATACTTGGCTTGAGTGCTCTGCATTTTCGCTCTAAGAAAATTTTGAAGAGCTAACCGCAACCTTACGGTAATTTTGGCAAAAAAGACAAAGGAAAGGAAAAGAAAAGGACCGTTGATAGGTTTTAATGGAAAGGATTTTGTGTTTCGAGGGTGGAAAACATATCTAAATTATCTTTTTTATGAGTTGTGTTCTTTTTATATTGTGTATATTAATTTATTATCGAGATGTATTTCAATACCAATAAATCATAGTTGAGATATGAAATGGATGAAAATGTGATAGTTTCGGTGTTCTTTTAACCATTAACCAATTATATCTTACTATTGTGTATCAGAGATCGACTAAATTTGAACTTATTGAAAAAAAAATGAAAATATGTCAGGTGAATTCGTTGTAAATATTGTGATCTAGTTCATGGCTTATTAGAAGTAGAATGCATTTTGATGAAATGTATTTTCACGGACGAAAAAATTATAGTTGAATTGACAATCAAAAAGAACGTTGCTTCTAGTGACCCTAATTGAGGAAATATGATGCTAACGATTCTTATTCTATCCTATATCAGCGATCTCTTTGAGAAAAAATGATTTGGAGTTTGAAGAAGGGGTGTGAGAAGGAGTTCTTAACCTGAAAAAAAAAATTATCCAATTACATTGTTTAAACTCCTAGAATATGACATCCTCAAGAGTTTTTATTTGATTACATCAAAAGGCTCAATGAATTGTGATTTCACTTTTAATTCAGAAGCGATCTTGGAGTTTGAAGAAGGGGTGTGAGAAGGAGTTCTTAACCCGCAAAATTTTTTTATTCAATTACACTGTTTTAAACTCCTAGAATATGATATCCTCAAGACTTTTTATTTCATTATATCGAAAGGTTCAATGAATTGCGATTTCACTTTTGATTCAGATTATTTCAGGGCAAGCAAGTCATTTTTAATAAAAAAGATGAGCTTCAAAAGAGTTAATAATTCAAATTCTTTGGCCTTATTATTATCCTTATAAAATTTAGCTTATATGAATCATTATTGATTATATATATATATATATCAATAATAGTTATAAAAAAAAATAAGACATAATACACTATTTTAACTTGATGCCAATTTACTTTAAAACCTTTAATTTTAAACGTGTATAAATAGACACTTATTAAATTATCATAAAATTGAAAGTAGATATACACATCCTACATAACAAATATCATGTAATTTGCCATAAAGGACACATGTTTCTCACACGATTTGTCATGCATAACACGGATCTATTTATTTGATTTTATGATAGTTTAAATATTTACTCATGTACACACAAAACGAAAGATCATAAATGTCATTTGAGTTTAATTTAGAATATACGTTTATGTATTATATTATATGAATTCATTTTCAAACATTTATATATTATTATTTTTCAATTTCTTCCAACCAAGAGTCACATGCAACTCACGTGACAATTCCTAACTTGGACTTTTCTGTAAATATCCTTAATTCCATACCTAAATTATTTGCTTTCATTGCTCTTAATTTCCAAATTTTTTCCACAAATTTCGTTCTACTGGTCCATTTTCTTCTCTTCTAGAGTCCTCTCAGTTCAATCTTCGAAAATCTCCAGTTTTCTTACAATTATCAACGAATTATCCCTCAAAATCTCCATTTCTACACAATCTCCTGCTTTTTCTCTCTCGATCGATGTAATTTTCACCCAAAATCGTTAACAATTCAATCGCTCAAAAGTGTTTTTTCTTTTTATCAGTTTTAGGGTTCAAATCTTTAGCTTCAATCAGTTTAGTTGAGTAGGAATCTCGGAAATGAAGATCGTGTATGGTTTTTGTACAGTTCAGTGTTAATTGTAGACCCCCCAAATTTTCGTTTTGATCAATTTAGGGTTCAATCTTTAGCTGCAATCGGTTTGGTTGATTGGGGTTTGTGGAAATGAAGATCGTGTATGGTTTTTTTACAGTTCAATGTTCATTGTAGAACCCCCAAGTTTTCATTTTGATCAATTTAGGGTTCAATTCTTAGCTTTGATAAGTTTAGTCTAACATCAGTTCAGTATTCATTGTATAGAACCCCCAATTTCTCGTTTTGATCAATTTAGGACTCTAAGTGTTTAGCTGTAATCAGTTTGGTTGTTTAGGATTTTGGAAATGAAGATTTTTCGTCTAGCATGTGATAGATTTGTTTGATTTATGTATAGTTCAGTATTCGGTGTAGACGCCGTTGTTTTGATCAATTTAGGGTTCAATTTTTAGCTTTGATCAGTTAAGTGGATTAGGAGTTAGTGGAAATGAAGATTGTGGAATTGGATGGCTCGTTAATAGAAGGTGATGGTAAGTGTGTGAACACTGAGAGACGGGTGATTGTTGGTGTTGATGCTAAGAGAGTGTTGGTTGGAGCCGGAGCTCGGATCCTCTTCTATCCGACACTTTTGTACAATGTTTTTCGTAACAAAATTCAGTCGGAGTTCAGATGGTGGGATCAAATTGATCAGGTTTACTTCATCCTTAACATAAGTTTACACTCCTTTCCCTAAAAAGAATGAGAGTCTAGAACACCTAGGTCAATGCATTTTATTTTTTCAATGATCTCTCAATTTTTCAAAGTAAAATTGCATATTAAGAAATTATGTACTGTGTGATTTCCATAGTTGTAATATATTTGATGGATGTTTGAGAAAATCGTTGTAGAAAACTTTTGGACTCGCCAAAAAATGCCGTTGTCTTTGCAGATAGATGATTGCCAGATAATGGGTTCATCTAGTCCAATTTGACTGTTTTTATCTATGGAAATGCTGGGGAAAGAGTGAATTTTATTGGTCTGTTATTGTAATTTTCAATATATTATATGCTTTTGTATAGGGATGAGTTGTTGTGTGCAATAACTTATTCTTTAGTTGCTTGCGCATTTGCAACTTTGAAGAAGTAAGGAAATTGCCTCCTCCTGTTCCTGCCTCCCCACCCCGCTCTCATAAAGAAAAGTCTAAAGGGAGAAATAAACAATTACTTCTCATTTGCCCTCCATTAGTTTAATATGTTAAGGTTGATGCCTTTGTGACTCTGCTTTTTTGGTTGTTCAGTTTCTCCTTCTTGGAGCAGTTCCATTTCCATCGGATGTCCCTCGGTTGAAGCTGCTTGGAGTTGGTGGTGTAATAACGCTGAATGAACCTTATGAAACTTTGGTACCATCATCATTGTACCATGTGAGTGATACATGTATTAAATATCATCCATTTTCATAGTCATAATATGTGATTATATTCTCGATAAGATTTTTCTCCTGAGAAGCTTTCGGACTATGATGTTTGTTTTTTCAGTAGCTCAATTAAAATTTGCTTAGTTTGTTAATTGGTGTGTGCATATAGCAGGGTATTAGTTTTCGTTTGTCACAAATTTAACATTAGTACCAAATGACATGATAAAATCTTCAGGGTGTTGCTCAGGATACCCAAAGTGACATGTAGACACATCCCCTGTTGTAGGGTGGTAAAGATTTCCTTTCATGAATGAGTAGGCAGTTTATGAGCATCAAAGAGTAAACAATCTTCTGTCATTGAAACTTCACAGTTTTGATCTCATATGATATCGATCAGTAAATACACGTTTCTCTATTTCTGATATCCCATATTTCACTACCTGAGGTGGACACCACCTTCTGCCTGTATTATACAAAGACATGGAACAGCTTTCCCCCTTCCTTCCATCTCTGCAACTACAGTGTGCTGCAGAGGTTGGTATCTTCAAGAGACTCCTTGATATCCTTTACGATTTGTTTGATTCGTTTTTTTCCTTTTTAATTTGATACTGTTGTTAATGCATGGTAGAAATGGGTTTCCACACGTAGAGGTGTATTCACATTCCTATACTCTGATTTCAGGCCCATGGAATAGACCATCTCGTTATTCCAACCAGAGATTATCTTTTCGCACCCTCTTTCATGGATATAAACCGAGCAGTAGATTTTATTCACAGTGAGTGATTATCATTTATCTTCTGTATTATTGACTTATTGTAGGGCCCTTCCTCACTTCCTTTTTCTCTTCTCTGTTGCAGGGAATGCATCCTGTGGTCTGACTACTTATGTGCATTGCAAGGCCGGAAGGGGAAGGAGCACAACCGTTGTGCTTTGCTATTTGGTAGCTACCTTAACCCAATATAAAGCCATTTGTTTTCTGTGTGGATATTGTTTCTTGGCCAGCTAATTTTTTAACTTTCAAATGACTAAAAGGTTGATTCTTTCACTAATTTAGGTTGAATATAAGCATATGACTCCTGCTGCAGCACTGGAATTTGTCCGTTCCAGAAGACCTAGAGTTTTATTGGCTCCTTCTCAATGGAAGGTAAAGAACATTTCGAGTAAATTTTCTGCTCCATTGTGCACCATAGGAAGTTTATCTGTGTCAACATATCTTTTTCGTTAAACAGGCTGTTCAAGGATTCAAGCAGCAGCGAGTGGCATCTTCTCCACTCTCTAGTGACGCTGTGTTGATCACTAAAGCAGATCTTGAAGGGTATCATTCTTCTTCTGATGATAGTCATGGTAAGGAGCTAGCCCTTGTGCCCCGAATCGCAAGAACACAACCAATGATAGCTCGATTATCCTGCCTCTTTGCGTCACTGAAAGTATCCAGCAGCTATGGACCCATCACCAGGCAACTGACCGAGGCACGTGCCTGCTAACTGCTGCACACTCATCAGCAGAGCTTCCTCGTACAGATTAGGTCTCTGCTTAAATAAGGTCCCAAGAGCTTTATATCTTTGATTCTGTAAGAGTTTAACATCAAGGGATTCTGAATACAGAAAAAAAAACTGTTGAATGGGTCTTTCAACATTGTATAAACATGTGCAGAGTGTATGACTTTTGGTTTCATTTGTAAATATTTGGGTCATTATCACTCCCTCCATTTCAATTTATGTTAACATAGTTCGAATTGATACGGAGTTCAAGAAAAAATTATGACTTGAGAAACTTTTTTTTCTTAGTCATTGCGGTATAGCATTTGAAGCCAGAAAACTTTGAAACTTGTGACCTCAAACATGCTATAATATTTGTATGGTTATAAAAGT